TTGATTCCTTTTGAGAAAGGTCAAACAAACCGGGGATGGAATAACTTTTGGGGAGGGGACACTGAATGACCTCGATTTTGCAGATGACATAGCTGCACTGGCTAACAGTTGTGTTGGTCTCCAAAACTTTACAGACAGACTTGCTACCACAGGGGAGAAAATTGGGCTCAGAGTGAGTGGGGACAAAACAAAAGCAATGACATCTATTGTAAACCCTTCACCACTTCTGCTTGACAACAAACAAATTGATTATGTGGACAGTTTTACATATCTAGGCAGTATTATTACTATGGGTGGGGGTACAGAAGAGGACATTAAAAGTCGGTTAGGAAAAGCTACCGGAATGTGGCAGCGTCTAAGAAAAATGTGGCGCTCCAAGCAAATTAGCATTCCGCTAAAGATGAAGCTTTTCCAGTCCATTGTGGTACCAACTGCTATATATGCATGTGAGTCCTGGAGAAGCACCAAAGAGACAGTGCAAATGTTAGACACTTTCCAGCGTAGATGCCTCAGAACTATACTAGGCATCTCCTGGCGTGACCACGTATCAAATGAGCAGCTCATGCAAAGAGCCAAGGTTCCATCTCTCAGTGAGACTGTAATGAAAAGGAGATTGAGCTTTGCTGGACATGTGTGGAGACTCCCTGATCTCAGAGCCACAAAAACAGCTCTAACATGGAAGCCAGAAGGCACACGCCCGAGAGGGCGGCCTAGAGTCACTTTGCGGAAAACACTACAAAATGATGGGGTAAAACTTGGACTTAACTCACTTAAGGATATGGCAGTAGTGGCGCAAGACCGAAACCTTTGGAGACAAAAAGTCAGACAAGGAGTCGACCTATGCAACAAGGTTGCGGGAGGATCTAAGGTCTAAGGGTAAGGTAAGACTCGCCGCCATGCAACATTGTTACAACAGGTGTTATGAACCAGTCACTGGTGCCCCCATGCGGTGCCATGATGTACTGCAGAAGCATATATTACACTACACGTGGACTCGCGTAAATTTTTCCACCCTGTACCTCATGCCATTTTTTACATCCATAAGTATATTTTCAGCGGCGATGGTTTTAATCTGTGTTTTCTGGATCCACAGTTGCAAGGATGTGATGGTAATATAAGGATACGAGAATTTTTTCTTAGTAGAAACGAGGTTAAAGCGACAGGCTACGATTAACAGTCTGTGGACTCCTGGAAAATACTTTGGTTTAATTTTGCAGACTATCTTGAAGAAGTGTCAGACTCGCCGCCATGAATTCCATGTAACATTGTTACAACAGGTGTTATGAACCAGTCACTGGTGCCCCCATGCGATGCCATGATGTACTGCAGAAGCATATCTTACACTACACGTGGACTCGCGTAATTTTTTCCACCCTGTACTTTAAGCTATTTTTTACTTCCATATTATTTCCGCGGCGACGGTTTTGATTTGTGTTTTCTGGGTCCACAGTTGCAAGGATGCAATTGTACATATAGTGGAGACCGCCACAAGCAGAATTGTGAGCAAAATTCGAGTTGTAAGCGAGAAGCTGCCCTGAGAAGATGAGTTCTAACTGTGAAACTGCACCCTCCTGACATATCGTGCATGTCGGTCATTAGAGAGTATAATGTCCTTGGTGCAACAATGTATGGAACCATAGCAACTCGTGTGCATTGGTGCATGGGAAACAGCGGTTGACGTCCTTCTATTCAGAGTTTTGGGCGCGCCTCAAACCGCCTTTATATTTGCACATTGAACTGTTTGTTTGTTAGCAACAACATAGATGCACACAAAAGCCACAGGTGGCAGGAGAATGGCGATGTTGCTGGTTTTACAGAAAAGCAATGTGCTTTTGCAATATTAGTAACAACAGCCGCCTCGTACCATACTTAAGGAAAGAGTACCCAACAAAATTACATGTACAGCTGGAATGCACCGAACACTGTAAAATACAGTATTCAAGGCTTTGGGGGCTGACGTTACTGCGATAAAATGATGGCTTGCGACAAAATGCGATGCCTGGGCCGCGAATACGTTTGATACGGGTGTTCCGGCCCGTGTGATAACTAGCGGTACGGCCCGGGGGTTCTTAACGCGTACGAAAATTCGAATACAAAATTCGGACGTTGGGATTGATGTTCTTGCATTTTTTGGGTTTAGGGACACCAAATTTTTGCTCATTTCGCATTAAAGGGCGTGTTTTCATGGGTGGGTATACATATGACATAAATAAAATACAACACGGTGTATTCCGCATCACCCTCGGTCCCGACCTTCCCGCGGATTGGATCTCCCTACGGCCTTCCGGCGATCCGACGCGCGGTCGGGCTGGCACCTCGGGCGATACGGAACACCCCGTGTTGTATTCTATATTTACCTTGTCCATATCCGATGGTGAAGAGTATGAGCACAAGGCTGCAGAATAGACGCAAACTTGCAGACATTTTCCTCGGCTTCCTTCGGAGTAGATTTTTCTCACAAAGGACAATAAGCGTAGATATCACCGACTGCTTGTCTTATAACTGGACATCCTGTTGGTACTAGTATTAATATGGACATGAGGCAGCGAGGGCGAAACCATTACAACAATGGGTAGGAACATTTTTCGTGATACACCAGGAAAAGAGTTGCTGACATTGCTGAAACTTTATGCCGTTTACTACAAAATAGACGTTAGGAAACGAGGCATTGTGTCACCTTTTATGAACGCAATAGAGCTCATCTTTCTGGTGTAAAATTATTTTCACGTCACCCCTACCCCCTCCCCCGTTACAATATTAAAGTGACCCAACTGTTGCTGACTCATGAGTTGGAAAACAGACAGAGAAAAGGCGACGGGTAACCTTGGTAACCTAGCAACGGAGCTTGTTTACTTCTCCGTCTCCTGTTTTTCTTTCTCGCAACTTGCTTAGTGTCTACAATCGAATCACAACTTCTATAGTGTCTATGATACTTATGAAGGGAAAATTCTGAAGTTATTAAGGTTTATCGGTGCTGTTGGCTAAAATTCTGCCAAGTTGTTTTTCTCCGTAGAGCTAATACGACCAAGGACATTATGTATAATGTCCTTGCTACGACAAAGCATTCAGAGAGGAGGTTTGAATTATTTATGAGGTTGGCACGACGATAACAAAGGACTTCTAATGTTCCATGTGACGCAGTGAGGTAGAAATCGTACGATTATTTTTTCTAGTCAATATCAATATACGCTCTCTTATTTGACCAAGAAAAAAAGAAATAGCAATGAAACGGCCTTCTAGCAGCCGTAAAATCACTTTGTTGCAGTGTTTGTTTATTTGTTCGTTCGTTTGTTTTCATTCTTTATCCACGAATCAAGAGAATAAATCGACCAACAGGTCGCTTTTCATTGAGGTCATGAGGTAAGAGGTCAGGGTCTGACAAAACATATTATCCTCATCATATATCACCTGACAACGACACCAGTACAGTACAATAGGGGGGGGAGGCGGGCTGTAGCCTGGCTTGAAAGGACTCAACAGTGGGAATCGCGACCATCGAGCCGGGCAGGGAGGATAGTGCGGGGAAAGAAGGAAAATTTGTAGGTGTGTGTGCGTGTTGATAGGCCCCGGGTGGGCCCCTGGGCGGGCTGTAAGTAGCCTCTACCAGGCTTCGAGAGGCGGCTGGAAAGAATAGACAGAGAGATAGCATATGCCGGGGGAGTTGGTCCGCTAGACAGTACATTTTGCCGCACACTGTTCTCTCCAGCAGAACAACTCCCCCGGTATGTTATCTCTCTCTATTTGACCAATTTCTACTCTTTCCAGCCGCCTCCCGAAGCCTGGTAGAGGCTAGGCTGTAAGATACTATCTGTTTGGATGTTTATTTTATTGAGGACTAAAATGTAGTTTGACGGGCTCTCCTCCTCCTTTCGGAGAGATGAGGCCACTGCAGGTCGTTGAGCATTTGTGTCACACTGCTAGTTCCCCTGTAGTCATTGAGGGTCACTCGGGCGGCCCTGCGCTGGACAGCCTCCACCGCCTGTATCTAGTCTCTACCAGACTAACTACGCTGGCTATATATAGATCCGTATTCCCGTAGAAAGGCCTGGTGGAGGCTAGCCTGTATCCCTTTGATGGTGTCCCAGGGTCCCAGACGGTGGAACTATATTTCAAGTGTGGCTTTATAGCAAGTGGCCTTGACCCTGGATGGGCAGTGGGTCGAGAAAGATATCCAAAAAAAGATAAAGTTTACATCACTTTTAAAGTCCTAATAAATCTATACACATTTTACACAAAATGCGTACAAAAAACAAACATATGATCATGAGAGCTTGTAAATGCTGTATATATGGGACGCGCCAGTTTGTTTTGGTGCTGGGTCTCCCTTTTTGCCCGCCTCTCCAAAGTGACGGGCGGCAGTTGTTCCATTTCTCGACAGGTGGCGCTTTGAAATGCTCATTCCAACACCTTTATGTCACACGTAACGTCATATGGAGACACGCCCATATACATCAGACTAATATCAGGCGCTGTTTGTCACACTCCGTTGCGCAACAGCCACGTAGAGCTCGGCTCTGAGAGAAACAACTGCAACAAGACGACTGAGGGCCGCTCTTCAGGCCTTCTTAGTCCAGAGAGTGAGTGTCAACTGAAGATATCCTGACCAGTTTGGAAGGTAAGTTGTGATGAACATGAAGGTAAGTATTTTCTGAAGTAAAATCATCTTGTGTTAATTAATGGTACTGAAAATTAGACATCCAGGCAGTGCATTATTCAATACAAAATAAATCAAGCAACTGGATGTTAAATTCTCTGAAAATTCCGAACTTTTTGATAGCATCCCGTGCCTGAGAAGATAACTGTAACCTGTGTATAGATAAGATGGTTGATAAAATTCATTGTATAAAAACAGCAGCCAGCCAAGTATGCCGGGCTTGTTGGCCTTTTTGCGGAATTTGGCTGGTCACAGAAGATGTCATCCTGCAATAAAATGAAGAACCAAGAAATCAAATTATTTTGAACTAAAATTGATATCCTTATGTGTAAAAGGCCCAAAAGGCGTCATGGAAATTTCCGTGAAAAGAAAAACAAGTAAACAACCTCCTTGTTAATATTCAAACGGCAAACTTCAAACGGCAGCTCCAGACAATCAACACAGCTCCTGTAAAAATTGCAGACCTCTGGTTACATAACTTTCCTGTACATAAACCCTTCAAAACTGTTCTTACTGTTTCGACTTCTCAGTGTACTGCGACTCTTGAACAGTATCAACGCAAAGTACTTGTCACTAATTTATATAGTTTTGGTTTGTTTGTTTTGATGTGTTTGTGTGCGTGTGCTTGTCTGTGTGTGCGTGTGTGTATGTGTCTGTGTGTGTGTGTGTCTGTGTGTGTGTGTGTGTGTGTGTGTGTGTGTGTGTGTGTGTGTGTGTGTGTGTGTACGTGTGTGTTTGTGTGTGTTTGCGCGTGTATGCTCACAGGAATTTCGAAGAAATGCAGTTAAACGGTAGGTAAAGAAGTTGAAACTTTGTAACCGTAGATTGACAGGAAATCCACAAGGCATGTTGCTTCAAGTCAGTTGGGTTACATACTTAGTTCCGTTTACATCAGGCCTCTTAGCCTGCAAGGGTTCTTTTCCAGGTATGTTACACCGTATATAATACCCTACGCCAGACCACCTCTTTGTGGTTATGCCAGTAAATTTACAACAAAAATAAGATACCTACTGGGGTTTTGACCTTTCCGATTTATTCTTTATTGATTGTTGAATCTGTAACTGGGTTCTAAATTTGCTACTCCATCTCGGTAGGAAGGTCTTACTGTGCTTACTTCGGGTCTTCTATAGATCTATGATAATCGGACACAGACGTTAGCATTGACATTCGAAGGGTGAGAACGTAGTAGTATATAATGTATCCTACTGGACTGAGAATGTCCTGGATATGTGAGGATAGCCTCCTCACTTATCACCATGAACTTCAGAAATAATTGTTAACAGTGGAAGTTTGGTTATGTACAGCTGACCATCCAGTTATCAGGAATATTTGAAATATTTGTATCACATGGGCCTACCTTTTAATCGTTCTTCTGCTCGTAATTTTTAACTGTTGTGGTGTGGTTGTAGTATGTGTAATTATTGTGGTCTATGTGGTCTTTCTAATAATACTGTAGTTTAACTTCCTAACGACTTTGTATTTTAACCTCCAAATGACTCTGAATTTTGCAATACAAAAACTCTTGATTTTGAAATAAAGAAATTTACATTTATTCGCAATGCAGTATCTTGTATTAAGTTTACTGCCATTGATCAATAAATAATTCTCGAGTCTGGATTTTTTTTCCTTGCTGAACGACCCGAACACCTGTATTCTGCAAGTTCAAAGCAAAGTTCCATTACGTCATTGACTCAAGCCTCCAGGTTGATTCCGAACCAAGAAAAGTCAAAGAGAGCATTAAGAACTGTGCTAGATACTCAGATTTTAACAGATGCGCTTATTGCTTTGTTTATTCGGCAGGACAACATGGGAAGAAAGCTGAGACACGTGCTGGTTTTCCTTCTCATCATCCTGAAGGAGCCCAGCATGCCGGAAGCTGCCTGCGGATGTAAATCAGCATTCTGCAGATGCACCGAAATGGGCCTCACCAGCTTCCCTCAGGACCTGCCAACAACCATCTATTGGTTGGATTTAAGGCATAATCTAATTACATCATATTCTCTTACAATTCCAAAACTTCCCCGTCTAAAAAAGTTGTACCTTCACAGCAACCAGATAACAATGATTCAGGCCGGTACAGTTGCAAATCTTCCCCAGTTACAAGAGTTGTACCTTAACAACAACCAGATAACAATGATTCAGGCTGGTGCACTTGCAAATCTGCCCCAGTTACAAGAGTTGTACCTTAACAACAACCAGATAACAATGATTCAGGCTGGTGCACTTGCAAATCTTCCCCAGCTAAAAAAGTTGTACCTGTCCCACAACCGGATAATAACGATTCAGGCTGGCACACTTGAAAATCTACCAGGCTACGATCGTTGCTCCTTCAAGACAACCCCTGGCGGTGTAACTGTAGCATGGTTACCTTCATGTCTAAGTTTCCCTTCTTTAAAGACCAGATAATTTGTGCCCAGCCCGCCAAATTCAAAGGACAGAAGCTCAAAGATTTCAATCCTGTAGAATTGAAATGTGAGGATCCAACGCAATCAACACCACGTGTTGATGCACAGAACACGTTTGTTTCAACTGCAATGCCAAAATCTTCTTCCTTTCTCCAAACAGACACCAACCCGGGTCCCACAGCACATGCTGTAGGTTCCACACTGCCCATACAGACCCAAGCCCCGTTCACATCATCTGCAGTGTCAGTGTCTTCATTTGGCGACACAGAAAGCCTTAGTCCTGGTCCAAGAGTAAACCCTCCAGGTTCTACCTTCACCTCATTGCCGTCCGCTACTCAGCAGAAAGTCAAAACAGCCGCTAAACTGGCTTTCCCGTTTCCCACCACCGGCACTTCTCCTATTCTGTTCACTGCTAACAAACCAGAAATCACCCGTTGCGTTTTCCAAGAATCTTCTCCCAGTGTTTCCATTCCTGCTCTAATCGGCTCTGTCTGTGGTACAGCGGCCCTCTCTATTGTTGCCACCGTCCTCATCACAATCTGGTGCAAACGGAACACCAAGAATCCTCCCTCTGGCCCAACTTCTAACATAGCGTTGAGTAACATCAACACCACAGCTACTGCACCGACTAGTGGTTCCCTTCATGATCAGACAGGGCAGGGCCAGGCTTTGGCGTCCAGTCAACCCTTGAATATCGAACACCCTAAAATAGGTACAGGTACAGGGTCCCTTGCTCCCCATAGAGATGGCCCCCCTCTACCTGATGATGATGAGCCCACTTATGTGGAGCCAGACGGTGCCCACTATATGACGCCAGAAGACGTCCTGTATGAAATGCCGGCAAACAGTCATTGCGAGGATGACAACCGGCACTATTACCAACCTCTAAAAAAAGAACAAAACTTACCCACTGATGCTTCTGGCTACGTACTGGTAGTGCCCAATAAAGGCCAGTGTTAAAGAATGGAATTTTCAGTAAGATTCACAAAATTGTGGATAAACATTACTTCAAATACTCATTTTTTCCCTGAAAATATGCTGCCTGACCTAAAAAAATAACTTTCTATGCTGGGGCATAACTGCCATTACTTCCTGAACAGACTGAAACGTTTGAAAAGGTCTAGCACAAAGTACAATGGTCTGAGATTACGGCATCATAAATTTAACCACTGTTGCCCTGACCACAACCCAAAAGATAAGGGTCATACCTCATTGGCAACTAGCCTGACTAAATCTGCGCTCCTAGCGGCCTGCCCGGTATTACACCAGCCGCCCCCTGGTGTAATACCGGGCCGGCCGCTAGGAGCGCAGATTTAGTCAGGCTAATTGGCAGCAGTTTTCTGCAACACTTTAATCCCTGGAACATAATTGATATAATCAATATGATCGTCCGTGAGTCAATATCTTCTGGCTGTCATCCACAAAATCATGAAAGTCCACACATTGATTATTCAGTAATCAATTAAAGTTGGAAACCGACGTAGGACTTTAACAATATAACTAGTAGGTGTAATATATAATGTGGAAAAGAAAAAAAAAGTAGGCCTGGAATTTTTTTGAGGGACTTTTGATCCACTCCTGTAAAATAATCTATATTTCAGCTGCCTTGTGTGATTTAATTACTTATTATCATAAATGATTTTATTAATACCCATCTTCTGTATTATTGATATAATCATGATATACAATGTAACTGATTTCTTATTGCTCATTATGCTTGCTACTGTAGTTGCTCTACTGGTAAGTACTATCATAATGGTGCTGATTTGCATATTTTGTGAATATCACACATACAGCAGATCTAATGAACATGATTACAGTAGCAAATCATATTTCTGTAACAGTTCCAGTAGCAGTACTGTACAGTACTGTAGGTCTGCTAAAGGAAATTGTCTTTTGTAATTGAGATTGATGCACCAATGTAAGATCGTGCTCGGACCAAAGTGTTCAGGAGTCCATCTCCACACTTTTAGTACCTGTGGTGCATGCCTAGTCTCTAACCATTACAGCAGTAGAACTCGTGATGCTTCTAGTGAAATTTAAGCCACGTAATACGTATACTTATACACATAAGGTCAATGACTTGGACCAGACGTCTGTCACCATGGTAACTGGTAACTAGCAGACACCCTGTGGTGTTGGATTACTTAATGTAGCAACTGGCTGATCACTATATGTATGAATGCGATTGTGTAAGAAGAAACGAAGCTGTAGTAATTGTTGGCCATGACCATGTAAAGGAAAACATTATGCATTTGCTTTGCAAATAACATGTTGCCATTGTAATATGTTGCTCTTGTCATTTGCCAACGTTGCATGTTCCAGTCTTATTATCTTGTGGTTTTACTTTGATTGTTCCTTCACAAGCTACAAGCAATTTTAGAGAGAATTCTTAAAAGCATTCAAGAAACAACATAGAAAAATGGCGCTAGGTCGAGTTCTAAGATAATGATAATAAGAGGGGTAAAAGGACTGACTATGAGTTCTAGAGACAGAAGTAACAGCATTGTTTCCTTCATGTAGTGCCATTTCTGTTTCTGTATGTGTATAGCCGGTATAACCGCCCTTCGCGTAACACACCAGCTTCTGTATCTGTATAGCCGGTATAACCGCCATTCGGCGTAACACACCAGCTTCTGTATCTGTATAGCCGGTATAACCGCCATTCGGCGTAACACACCAGCTTCTATTCACATTTGTCTATTACATAATTTAATAATGTGTGTTCTGAAGTATATTTGAATATTTATCATGGTTTATGGAAGACTGATTGGAGTCTTTATGCACACCACTGAGGTCACTTTTTTACGAAACGGAATCAAACTTGAATCTGTTTGTTTCCCGTCTTTTTCGGAATATAAGGCCGTGTTGATTTCATTACATGGATGACATCCGCGCGCGCATGAATTTTCGGCCGTTTCCAAAAAAAAAAAAAGTTTTCAACCATACTGTGAATCGTGCAAAACAGCTGCTAAATGAGCAAAAATATACCATAAATTGCAAGGAAAACATTTAGAAACGATACCAATGTCGTAGAATGCCAAAATCAAAGGAAAAAAGACAAAAATGTAAAGAAATGAATTCGAAGAGTAGATTATTCGCCATAACATATTCTGTGCCATTTGTTCAACCTTCATGACCACGTAGATTTCATAGTGAAAGCTTAACTTTTTTTTTGCTAAAACTTTTTTTTATTCGCACGCGCGCATCAGTTTTGGGGTTCCCAGAGGATGTCATCCATATATCAAATCAACATGGCCTAATTGGCAGTTTTTGTATTTGTATCGTGCCCAATTTATCAGCCCCTGATGTACACAATCAATGGAGCCAATGGAAATGTTTAAAACAATAGAAATCATACTTTAAGTACAGAAATTACATGATCATCGTCAAAGTTCATCTGTGTTAGTAGTTATCATAGTAAAAACGTTGACCTTCATTCCAACACACACACATTATACAGATATCAAATTTTCAGCGACCACTGTCGCCTCCATCAGAAATTATATGAGTCTTCCAGAACTTCTTTTGACACTGAAAAGAGCCG